CTGGGCGGCAGCCGGCTGGGCTGACGCAGGGCTAGGCTGCTGGCTGCGAGGCTCTGCCTTTGGCCGGCGGGGAGGGAGCGTCTTCTGCAGGAGAAACCCAGGGCTGATTCCTTCTGGAAATAGCAGCCTGATGGCCACTGCCAGGCAAAGGGGCCTGCTTCTGAGCCTGCCCCACGACACGTGTGGGCCCCGTGCGCCTGAATGCGCTGCATTCCACGCGCCTGTGCGCCAGTAGCTGTGGTCTGTGTGCTCAGCCAGAGGCACCCCTGGGACGAGGCTCCTAGGGCCCAGCGGGCGAGGGCGAGTGCTTACGGCACGCCCCCAGGACATGGGGTGCAGGCCTGTGCAGCTTGCCTCCTCCTGCCAGCCCTCCGCCTCCACGGGCGGGCGTCTGCCTGGGCACTCCTCCCGGGGAGCCAGCAGCCCCCGGTGTCTTTCCTTCGCGTGCGGGCAGGGAGACGGAGCGCTGCCTCGGGAGAGGAAAGCTCTAAAGCCATCACTGGGCACTAAGGGCCCTGGGTGTTACCCGCAGGATGTCTCTGTCGCTCCCACCCACTAGGGTAACCCCATTAATTGAAATACCCCTGCCCCAGGCCCTAGGGCTCAGGTGTGCCTGCTGCGGTCCCACGGCCCTTTCCCAGGCAGCGAGCCACACACGGCAGGAGCCTCGCGCTCTCTGTGAGCGGTGAGCAAGCAGGCAGAGTGCACGTGCTCAGCGCCCAGGGCCCTGCTCGCAGTCCCAGCGGGCCAGGCCGGGGCAGTCTCCTCTGGAGTCTGGCTGCTGCACAGCACGGGCGCACGGCGCATTCTTGGCAGCTCTGCTCGTAGTCTGGGTCTTGGGGGAGAGTCCTTCCAGGTCTGTCCTTGCTCTCTGCTCCTTTGCCTTTCCTGCTGCTCTCCCCTAGGGCCCCAGCTCAGCGTGGCACTCGAGTCCTGCCTCGCTCCACTGTACCCGGTCCCTGCACTGACCAGAATCACCTGAGCAGTTGACCCGGCAGACAGGAGCGACTGAAGGCAGCCCGCTCAGACGGCCGGGACGCGGGGCCCGTAGTGCTAGAGCAGGATTTCTTCCCCGCTCTTGCCGGGTGGCTGCTCCCCAGACCCCACGCGCCCAATGGAGTTTTCTTTGCCCACGTGGAGCCCTGCGGCTTCCCCGCAGTCAGTGGGCGCCGTTGGGACGGGGGCTGCTCCTCGCCAGCCTGGCGGGACACTGGGACTGCGAGGAGGGGACCGGCCAGTCTGGCTGCAGACGGAGGCCGTAGGCTCTGGCCTCCCACGCTGGCTCCAGAAACAGGCCACATCCGTACAGGGACTTGCTTGTTGCTCCTTCCCCTGCCCCCAACATGACCAGGTGAAGGGGCCGAGCCGTGAGCGGCTGGCCGGAGTTCCCTTTCCCACTGGGAGCTAGAGAAACCTCATCCCCTGGCGGAGGGCCGGCCGGGCAGGGCTGTTGCCAGGCCCTGAGCTTGCTGGTCAGCTGTGCAGAAGCCAGCTCTGGTTTCAGGCACAGGCAGGCTGAGCTGGTCAGAATGCACCAGCCCCTCCGACCAGGTGAAGGGGCCGAGCCGTGAGCGGCTGGCCGGAGTTCCCTTTCCCACTGGGAGCTAGAGAAACCTCATCCCCTGGCGGAGGGCCGGCCGGGCAGGGCTGTTGCCAGGCCCTGAGCTTGCTGGTCAGCTGTGCAGAAGCCAGCTCTGGTTTCAGGCACAGGCAGGCTGAGCTGGTCAGAATGCACCAGCCCCTCCCCCCGCGTTTCATTCCCCGTCTTTCCATGGCATCAGTGTCACGCGCTTGCCTCCTCGCCACCCGCCCGGCCTTGGGGAGCGGGGGCCGGGGGCCAGCCTGGAGTGGCTGGCCGGAGGAGCGGGGGCCGGCATTGCCCTGGCCTGAGAACTCTGCCTGGGGCCCGGGAGTGTGCGCCCCCATCTCGACGTGCCCAGGGGGATGCATGCGGCCCCCCGGCCCGGCTGCGCGCACGTTCGACCAGCCTGCCCCAGAGCTCTGCCAGCTGGATTTCTCCCTGTCATGTTGTAGGCCGTGACCCATTCTGGGCACAGACCTTTGGCGTCAGCAAGCCCCAGCAAACACCTGCTCCTGCGTGCAGCGGCTTCCTGGCTGGTTTGTTTCAGACCAGGAGTGCGGCTGCTTAGCTAGCAGGTTGCTGGGGGAGGACTGTGTTTTTCAGGAGGCTCCTAGCTGCTGGGGCGAGAGGGGTAAGGCTGTGTGGAGAGGGTGGGCGCTCAGACGTGAGCAGATGCCCATGGGAAAGTCAGCAGTGCCCCCTTAACTCTGCCCGCTTACACATGCGTAGGTTTGGATTTCTTGGGATGTGATTGCACCCCGCTTCCCAGATACAGCCGTGTAGCCTGGGCCTGGCCGGGACGGAGCGCTCCTGCTCGCTTTCGTTCTGTGACCTCGCACTGTGCTCCGTGTCGCGGGGCGTTCGCCAGGCCTGCGGGGAGACTTAGTGCTAAGGGTAATGCAGGGTCGTGTTTTAACCGTGTGCGCTGCAATCCTGCAGCGGGTTCTGACTGAGCAGCCCCCTCTGAAATCGGTGGGGTTCATGCAGGGAGCAGCCTCTGCCTGCTCGGGGCAGGGGCAGGCTCCAATCAGCAGCTGTGCACCATGCCCGCGCCAGTTGGCATGCACCGCCACCCTCCATCACTGCTCAGCGCGTGAGCTTGCGGCTGAGTTGAGCTCAGTAGGCGGGAGGGCTGTATGTGCCAGCACATGCTCACCAGTGGTCTGCCATGTCCGCAGTGTGCAGTGTGGGGTAAGAATTGCTTCCTGAGCGCTCCTCACTTGAATGACTTCAGTGGACTCTGTTTGACGTATACGAGAGTGCACCGTGCTACCCCGCACCAAGGCTGCAGGCAAAGCTGCATGATACTTTCAAATTCTGTTTGAGAAACTCTGAATACCCAGACTTTGATGAAATGCAGACTGGTGTGTGCAGAAGGGCAGAGCTAAGGTTATACGTGTTGTGCTTAAAAGAAGCACCCGGGGTCTTTTTCGGGGGTAAGGCAACACCCCACATTTATTGAACATACATACATCAATCAATGTTCATCATATGCATAGGCTACATAGCACGCATGCACTCTCACACGCACGCACACACGCACACTCCATCTTGTTGTTACCAAAAGTTGTTCCCCCTCACTGCACTGGCCAGGTGAGTTAGATGGGGGAGGGGTGGAGCCGGGCTTCTGCTGATCCGGATCGATGCTCCCATGTTGACAAGACAAAGACCCGGGGTCCCTCTGCAAGATGCCTCCTATGTATCCCTCTCATGCAGCCAATTAGGCATCACCTGGCCTTTCCTAATGCTGCTCCAGAGAGAGGTTCCAAGGGCCGGCACTTGCTGCTGGACTCCCAAGCGTCTGTCTGTCCAGTCTTCTTCATGAGCTCACTTTGCAGGTATTGGCTTGGGTCTGGCTCCCAGCCCCTCTCCACCCTTGCAGCTGCTGCTGGAGGGGCTCCCCTTTCAGTCCCCATTCACACCTCATTCATTTCAACAGGGCAGTCGAGGGAAGGGGAGAGCTCAGAAGACAGTGTTTGTCATACAAGATCTAGATCTCTTAATACAAAGTTCTAGGAGAAATGCTGCAGAGTCTAAGAAGACTTAACAAAGACAGATGGAAAAGGACAAGATCTGAATACAAAGTACAGTATCACAGGGATTTCTCCACGTGTACAGCTTTAATGCTGGCATCCCCTGATGGCTACTATTCAGTGTGTACAATACGGTAGCACCTACAGGTCACCACCACGTTGGGTCCCACTGTGCCAGGCACCATACGGATGTGACTGTCCCTTAGCAAGCTGGCGGGGGTTCTCCACACTGAGGGGAGATGTTCTGAGTGTGACTCCTTTCCTGCGGACACTGGGCCTGGCCTGACCCCCACTGCAGGATGTCACAGGAGAGAGCCCTTTCCCTGTGTGATGGTACCTTGCTGGTGGCTATGCTGGGCAGTGGGCTGGGGGTGACCCCCACTGGCTGCTGTCTGTACCACGGCCCAGCAGGGCAGGGGATGAGTCCCTAGGCAAGGGTCTCTCAACCTGTCCAACCAGCTACCCCCCAGGGAGAGGAACAAAGGAAGGTGGATGCCGCCCCTGGCTGGGGGCAGGGCTGGAAGAGAGTTAGTTTCTGTCTGGGATCATGGAGGAAGCAGCCTAGGAAAGGGGCTGGGATTTAGGGGCCCAGTCTCCCCCATCTCAAGGGGGGCTGAGGCAGCCTAGGCCTGCCCTGTGACCAGATTACATCCGTGCTGGGCTGTATCCTGGAGAAGCAATAAACTCCCTCGGTTCTACTGGCTGGCGGAGTCTGTCCGTGCCACTACGGGGGTGCAGGAGTCGGGAAAACCCCAACGCGCCGTCACATCCTGCAAGCCTAGAACAGCTTCTGCCTCGCGAGGGGCACAGTGGCAGCAGAGACGGTGATTTTCTCACCTTGCAAGATGCTGAGCTCTGATTCTGTGCTTTTCCCCCTCACTCCCCCGCCCAGCTTCCCCGGCTTTCTGCAGCCACAGCTTCCCGGAACCCTGCTGCCTGCTTCCCGCCCAAACTCCTTCCTCTCCTGGGCTTCCTCCAGCCAGCCTCTGGCGACACGGCTCCGGCCCTCCCTCGCCTTTCCCTGCTCACTCTCCGGCCCGCTGGAGTGCAAGAGCCTTCTCCTGGGCATCTGTCTGGAACAGCCTCCCTCTGGCTCGCTCAGACACTCAGCAGCGTCGTGCATGACCCTCTCCCTTATCCTCCCTCCTGCGCTGCCTTGAAGCCAGACGGGCCAGGCCATGTCCTCAGCCTGCCGACTCCTGTACTGTGTCCGCCTGCTGCCTGGTCTCACGCTGGGACGTGGGGAGACTTGCCCAGGGCCCTGGGAGGATTCCAGAGGTGGGGGGGAAGGGGAATCTGAGGCCCTAGTGGGGTGGTGGTGCTGTGCTGGCTCTTGGCCAGCAGCGGCGCCGCCAGGCTCAGCCTCGTGGTCCAGGCGAAGCGAAGGGCAGAGGGGTAGCCTGTCCCCGCCGGGAGCACAGCTGTGAAATGGTGACAAGTATCGGGGGGGGAGAGGAGAATGGTCTCTTCTCTCCCACTGCCCCCCGCCCCGCGTGCTGTGGTGCAGTCCAGTAGGGCGTGGGAAGTGGGTGGTGTCTGTGGGGACATGATGAGAGCGGGGCTTGGGGCTGTCGATGGGGCAGGCGGGTCCGGGGGGCAGGGCTCGAGGGGAGATGTTCTGATGTCTTCTGTCTCTGGCAGGCACTCCACCAGCTGTATTATGACCCAAATATCGAGAACAAGAACCTGGCTCAGAAGTGGCTCATGCAGGCCCAGGTCTCGCCCCAGGCCTGGCACTTCAGCTGGCTGCTCCTCAATCTGGACAAGGTGCCGGAGATCCAGTACTTCGGGGCTAGCGCCCTCCACATCAAGATCTCCCGCTACTGGAACGACATCCCTGCCGACCAGTACGAGAGCCTCAAGTCGCAGCTCTTCAGCCAGATCACCCGCTTTGCCAGCGGCTCCAAGATCGTGCTCACCCGCCTCTGCGTGGCGCTGGCCTCGCTGGCGCTCAGCATGATGCCGGAGGCCTGGCC